TGACTGATGACAACTTCTTAGCAGAAGCTGGGGGCAGTTTTCATCCTGATAATACCTTCACAATCTGCAGTTCCAGATGAATTAGCTGCATGTTTGTTCCTACAAAGAGGAGACCACGAAACACACACACACACACATACTCATATATATTTGTATTTGAATTATTTTCTGTTGTTTTCATAAATTGTTATTTTAAAGAAACCAAGGGGTAATACTTTTTGTTATAAATACAGACCAAATTTTACAGTATTTTCCATAACTTAAAAAGCAAATAACAGGATAGAACCTATGAAATTCGTAGTACATTTCATTCCAGCTATTTGATAACTAATCTTTTATTTTTTGTGTCCCTTTGTAGATATTCATTTGAATTCAGATGCTATGAATGGCAAAAGTATATTTTCCATATATTTTAAATTAGAACATAATTTTGGTATTTTTTAGTATTTTCTCATTCTTATGGCTCTTACTTTGGAACTATTTTCCATGCAGTGTGGTCTCTACTATTCTTCCTTTGGACACTTTCATTTTTGTAAAAATTCAAAAAGTTATATTATTGGAATAATAGTAATAATATTTCTGGTATGGAAATATTGCTTTGTATAAAACCCACAGCAATTTTATTAACTGGTGTGGGAATATAGCTATTTTAAAGCTATTTTTAAGGTTCAATTTATAATTTTACATCATCCAACTTCAAATTTATTTTGCTGTTATTTTTCCTGGAGAAAATTTACCAAAATAATGTGTCAAAAAGCTTGTAAACCATAGGTGATAGTTGCATTGGGTTTCGTTATACTATTCTTTCTGCTTTTGTTATACTTACAAATTAACTTTTAAATTTAGAAAAACATATTTTATGAAAAGCTTGCATTTAGTTGTAAAGCAGTACCACATTTGTTACTGATTTTATATATTAAAAATTTATATTTTATTATTTCAGAGAACAACATTTGTGAAATGTTATATTAACCGAATGAAAAATAAAAACTACATGGCTGGCCGGGTGCAGTGGCTCACACCTGTAAACCCAGCACTTTGGGAGGCTGAAGCGAGAGGATCACTTGAGCCCACAAGTTAGAGACCAGCTAGGGCAACATAGTGAGACCTCATCTCTGCAAAAAATTAGCCAGGCTGTAGTCTCAACAGCTCTGGATGCTGAGTCTCAACAACTCAGGATGCCTGTAGTCTCAGCAACTCAGGATGCTGAGGTGGGAGGATCACTTGAGCTCAGGAGGTTAAGGCTCAACTGTGATCATGCTAATGCACTCTAGCCTAGGCAACAGAGTGAGACCCTGTCTCCAAAAAAAAAAAAAAAAAAGCAGAGAAAACAAAAAATACATGATTATCTCAACTGGTGCAAAAAAATTTAGCATCATTTCTTGATAGAAATTCTTTCAACAGTTTATATATAGAGAGAGGAAATTTCTCAACATAATAAAGACTATTTATGAAAAATCCACAGCTAACATCATAATTAATAGGAACAACTGAAGGCTTTTCTACTAAGATCCAGTAAAAGGTAAGGATATCCACTCTCACCACTTGTCTTCAAGATAATACTGAGGGTACTAGAAAGAGCAATCAGACAAGAAAAATGAAAGGCATCCAAATTGGAAAAGACAAAGTAAAATTATTTCTATTTGCAGATGACATGATCCTATATGTAGAAAACCCCAAAGATTCCAAAAATAGTGCTAGAACTAATAAATTAATTCAGTAAAGTTTCATGATACAAACCAATATACAAAAATCAGTAGCATTTTTATACACAAATAATAACCTAGCTAAAAAAGAAATCAAGAAAACAATGTCATTTATGATAGCATCAAAAATATTTTGGAATAAATTTAACCAAATAGGTGAAAGATTTATATACTGAAAACTTTAAAACCTTGATGAAGGAAATTGAAAAAGACACAAATAAATGGAATGTATAAATAAATGAAAAGATATCCTGTGAATAGATCTAAAGAATTAATATTTTTAAAATGTTTATATGACCCAAAACAATATACAAATTCAACCTAATTTCTATCAAAATTCTAATGGCATTCTTCACAGAAATAGGAAAAACCATCCCCAGATTCCTACAGAACCACAAAAGACCTAAATAGCCAGGGCAATACTGAGAAAGAGAAATGAAGTTGAAGGCATCACACTTCCCCATTTAAAATTTTATAAAGCTGCAGTAATTGAAACAGTATGGTACTGGCATAAAAACACAAATATAGACCAATGGAACATAAAAGAGAGCTAAGAAATAAATCTAAACATAATAGTCAACAAAATTAGTGTCAACTAGTTTTCTAGAAGGGGACCAAGGGGACACAATGGGGAAATGGCTGGGCGCGGTGGCTCAAGCCTGTAATCCCAGCACTTTGGGAGGCCAGGGTGGGTGGATCACGAGGTCAGGAGATCGAGACCATCCTGGTCAACATGGTGAAACCCCGTTTCTACTAAAAATACAAAACATTAGCTGGGCATGGTGGCCCGTGCCTGTAATCCCAGCTACTGAGGAGGCTGAGGCAGGAGAATTGCCTGAACCCAGGAGGCGGAGGTTGCGGTGAGCCGAGATCGCGCCATTGCACTCCAGCCTGGGTAACACGAGTGAAACTCCGTCTCAAAAAACAAAACAAAACAAAAACAAAAAAAGGGGACACAATGGGGAAATGACAGTTTTCAGTAATGATGCTGGCAAAACTGAATTCCTAAATGCAAAAGTGTGAAATTGGACCCTGATGGTATAAGATGCCTAAATGTGAGGCCCAAAATTATAAAAACACCTAAAAAAGAACATAGGGTAAAATCTCCTTGATGTTAGCCTTGGAAATTATTGTTTTGAATATCGCACTAAAACCTCACACCATAAAAGCAAAAATAAATAAATAGGACTAAATCAAACTAAAAGACCCCTGCACAGAAAACAAACAAAAACGAAAATAAAAGCCGCAACAAATGACAACCTACAGAAGACTGGGAAAAATATTTGCAAACCATCTGATAAGGCGTTACAATAAAAAAATTTACAAATAATTCTTATAACTCAATTGCATAAAAACAAGTAAGTTGATTTAAAAATAGGTAAAGGACCCCAGCAGATATTTATCTAAAAAAGATGTGAAAATGGCCAACAGGTATATGAAAAAAGTGCTCAACATCATTAATCATCAGGAAAATGCAAATTAAAACCACTAGGCAATATCACTTCATACCCTGTAGGATGGCTATAATGAAAAAGGCTGGAAATAACAAGTGTTGACAGAAGTGTGGAGAGTAGGGAACCCTAGTATACTGCTGGTGGGAATGTACATTGGACTAGTCAATATGGAAAACAGAATGGAGGTTCCTAAAGAAATTAAAAATAGAACTTCCATGGAATATGACCCAGTTCAATGACCCAGGACTAACTATTCTGGGTATATACCCAAAAAAGATGAGGTCACCACCTCATAAAGATATCTACACTCCCATGTTTATTGAAGCATTATTGACAATAGTGAAGAGATGGAGACAACCTCAGTGTTCATTGATGTATGAATGTATCAGGAAAATGTCATATAGATCTGTTTATAACACAGCATATTATTCAGCCTTGAAAAAGGATATCCTGCCATTAGTCACAGCATGAATAGACCTGAAAAACGTTATGTTAAGTGAAATGAGCAGGACACAGAAAGCAAAATATTACGTGATCTCTCATATATGGAATAATTTTTAAATGCCTAATATAGAGACTTAGATTTAAAAGAATAAAACTGTGATTACCAGGGGCAGGAAACAAAGGGAGGAAATGTCAAAGAATTCAAAGTAACAGGTATGTAGGACAAACAAGTCTACAGATGTAATGTACAATATGAGGACTATAATTTATAAAATTGTATTATGTTTGGGACTTTTGTTAAATGAGTAGATTTTGGCTGCTCTCATCACCAAAGTAGTAACTATATGAGATGATAGATACATTAATTTACTTCAATACAATAATCATTTTACTATCTGTATGTATTCTATAACAGCATGTTGTAAACCTCAAATATACACATTAAAATTTATTTTTTAATGTATGTTTTATGGCTTAAGAGAACATTTGTCATAAAATTTTAATGTATTTTATTAATATGTCGCATTTTTAAATATACTATGATTAAAATTTAACATAATTGGATAAATATATTATGTAAAATGCATTAAATGCTAACATTTATATTATTCGCTAAGTTTTTAGTGTGAATTAGCTTATTTGAGGAGAAAGTCTCTTCCTTTGACATCAATAGCTGTTGGTATTTTTGTAACAGACAATTCTACTACTCATTATTAAATCTGACATTTCTTCTTAATTGGGCTTATTCCTAGCTAATGTGGGGAAGGGCGAATTAGTTATAGTCATTTAGCTCTGCTGTCAGCTTTCTCAGTAATTGATGTGCTTAGTTTTATTTGAAAGAGGATTTAGAAATGCTATTTCATGTTAAATGTCTTAGGGTTATAGTTTTTCTTTCTCACACAGATAGGCACAACTTCCACACAAGCTCAGGTAAAGAAGAAAGACATCATACCCCCTACACAATTCCCCAAAATTTCCCTCTTATATACAAATGACAAATAGACCATTCTTGTTTGAAGTACATAGTGGATACACAGTAATTTTAAAAGAAGAATATAAGGAAATGTGATGAACTGAAAATATGGGAAATTTCAAGAGTGCCAGAAGTCAGTCCTATCATCTGCTTTATTTTCTATATTATTTTCTGATAATATTTTCTTAAGTCTGATATTGTTATGGTGTCTCATTATTTTCATTTGTAAATATGCCAGTGGAAAAGGCAAAACCTATTTCTAAGTCTTTCTTAGAATTATTTTCTTTCCCTTCTTTGATTCAACTGAACATATCAAATGTTTAACATGTGCATGAAAGATACAGTTTGTAAGTGCTTCAAAAAACTGTCCAAAGAATGTTTCCATCTAGTAACCTTATCTTGTTTCTTGTTTTCATCATGCAGGGTGTGCTCTGTGCAACTCCCCTCATTTTTATCATTCCATCAGCCTGTTATCTGAAACTGTCTGAAGAACCAAAGACACACTCAGATAAGATTATGTCTTGTGTCATGCTTCCCATTGGTGCTGTGGTGATGGTTTTTGGATTCGTCATGGCGGTTACAAATCCTCAAGACTGCACCCACGGGCAGGAAATGTTCTACTGCTTTCCTGACAATTTCTCTCACACAAATACCTCAGATTCTCACGTTCAGCAGACAACACAACTTTCTATTTTAAATATTAGTATCTTTCAGTGAGTTGACTTCTTTAAAAAATGTGTATGTTTTCATAGAATTTAAACCACGTAACATTTACAGATGTTTTAGTCTCTATTTATATTATAAAATTATTATTTTGGCATTTATCAAGACTTGGTTTTCATGACTCTTTAGTGCAATATAAAAGATAAAGAAAAATTGAATGTATTTTACCTTTAACTGGAAGAAAATAAATGTTTTGTTCTAATGACTGCACTACACTACTGCTAATTGAAGAAAGGAGAGTGAAGCGTTTAGTATTTTCTGCCATCCCCCATTTACTTAATATGCAAACCAGAATATTGTGCTCCAAAATAAGTAGGTGATTGTGGGTTGGAATTTTGTGTAGGTGTCCTTTGGTGGGGGAGGAGGGGTGGATTTTTTCTTTGTCCTTAAGAGTCTGTGGAATTGAAGGGAAGGGAAACCCAAAACTATTGAAAATAATACATAAATTTTAGCAGCATTCCTTGTTTAAAGGAAAGTGGATCCCTGGAGAAATGAGGAAAGGACATTCCATGCAAGGAAGCCTGAAACATAGACTGGCTGTGAGGAGCAATGTGTGTGAGGAATCAAATCACCTCCTGTCTTCTGATGCCGTGGGAATACAGTGGTAGCGCCATTATAAAATGAGTGTTGGCGGGGGGAAGGGCGGGGCGGCAAGACACAGTTGTTCTGTGGTAAAAACCAACGAGATCAGTTACACATCAAATTTGGACCTGTTGAATTTGAGGTGTGGTCAGGAATGCACAACTGGAAGCTGAACTTTGAGACTAGAAATGTGTAAGAAGAATCAGGGCTATAGAAGGATTCTCAGTCCACTCAGGGTTCCTTGGAGAGATTTCTGGGAGCTCTTGTTGACTGGGCCTTTGGAAGCAAATACTGAGACAGAGTTTGTCATAACTAATAGGAGAGAGGGGAAAGCAGAATTGGTAGGGAAAGGTAGATCTGCAATGCAGGCTGACCTCAGGCAACCCCACGGGGAAGCTGGTGCATATATGACCCATCAGAATTGTCGCTGTTCGGGGGAAATAGGCAGGCTTTGATACTGCTGCCTCCATCAATCATTGAATGTAGACATCTGGAGAAGGATGAGTTCTTGGGCTAGGCAGCTCTTTGCAACAGAGCAAACCCTAAAGGAACTGAGAGCTGGAGGCGGTCTGCTGATAGCTTTGTCGCCACATGCTTCCTTGCAGGGGGATCTGGGAGACACAGCTGTGCCCACCACAGGTGCCCTCAGTTTTTACTGAATATTTTTGAGTGATTTTTTAATGAAGATTTTTTGTCTTCATATCTATGGCAATCTTTAAAAAGTAGCATGAAAATTTGGGGCCATCTGGATGGCTTCCTTGTATCAAGTGTCACCTAAGATTTCCATTTCATTTGTATTCCAGTCAGGCTGTCCATCTGTGGTACTATATTAATTGCTGTCAAATAACAAGACTCTATCAGAAGCAGAGCTAATACATATATGATGAGTTTGTACAAATCAAATGCAAAAAAAAGTCCTACAGGAAATGTATTAAGGGTAGGTTCATAGTAGTTTGAATAAAGTGGTGAGAGCTGACTCATTGTGTGACTCATACTGAGAAAGGCCTGTCGAACACAAAGGAAGATGCATTTTAGCAGGTAGAACCATGCTCAAGGTTTTAGTGGTGATTTGTTTTTTCAATAAATCATTATCCTTGCCAATAAATTAATTTAAATTCTGTTGGATAGCTTTTCTGTATTTAACTTATAAATTTGTTTTTTTATAGTTAAGGGTCATAAGGCTAAGCATTTTGTGCCTGTTTATAGATTGGTACGTGTTTAGGTAAAATATAATAAAAATGCTTTCATTCCATGTAAGACATTTTTGCCACAGTCTGTCCTTACACTGCTGAAGACTGCGAAACACTGACCTACATAGTTATTAACTAAAGTCATGAGGGATGAGATCTCTATGCGTGTACAAAGAGAAGCATGTCAAGGATAACACGATGTAGCATATAACCATCTCTTATCTTGTACTTTGATGTTGCTTCAGACTCTTCAAGTAGATGAAAGCTCCTTGTAGGAACTGGGTGCAGCATTACTACCTAATAAATATTTCTTAGTTTATTTGGTTTTAATCAGCTATAGAACAAGACTGCTTGTGACCCAGTTATTAGCTGCATGGATTACCAGTATCGTTCAAATTATAATTGAATAAATCTTAGGAACTCACATTTATTTTGCAAGAATAGTTGCATGTACATTTTGCCACCATGCATAACTGTAAGAGCCCCACCCCTCTATCTATTTTCTGCCTCAATTCAGTAAGATTCCCCTGAAAATCTTCCCACCCCTCCCACTTGTTGCCCCTCACAAAGCAACTTAAAGGTCTTAAACCAGTTTTTGAAACTGTCACTACATTAAGTGCTTCTTAACTCTAAAAAAGTGGCAGTAGGCAGTAATCAGACGTTTACACACAAATGAGAACATCTAGCAATACACTTCCTTTAAAAACATAAGTTGGATAGTATCTGTGTAATTTAAAAATTGAGTCATTATTCATTTATTATAGAATCTTCATTAACAACACTAACTTGAACCATCTTCAAACATCAGAATGAGTAAATAGTCTACGGCCATACCACCCTCAATGCATCAAATCTCATCTGATCTTGGAAACTAAGCAGGGTCGGCCTGGTTAGTACTTGGATAGGAGAATGGGTAAACTGCCTTGCCTGAACTATTTCCAGTGATGCCAAACAATAATTGTTGCCTCTTGTTTTTCTTAAAAGGAGACCGAATCAAACTAAGAAATTTTCAATTAGTCCTCTGCTGAAGTCATACTGTACACAACTATTTAATTAAAGATATAGTTATTGAACATAATAGATCTCCTTCTGGTTTATCTGCTGTAGCCTTGCTTAGGAAAGGAATAATAGTCTGTCTTTTAATTAGGAGTGGTTATTGATTGGAGCAAGTATTGTCAGGTAGTCCAAGAGTGGCCCCAGCTTGAATCGGTGAGTGACCCACCAGTAAGGGTACCCACGAATGCTTTACTAACTGTGGCAAGGATAATAATTTGCTACCTCAATAGAATAAGGTCTTTTAAGAATTTATACTTACTCTAAAAATGTATACAGAATTTGCCAGGATGGCAGAGCAAATATGTAGAGTAGACCAGAGATGCTGTGACCTAGAGAACACATAGACCAGGAAAGAAAGAAAAGAGCCCAGTCTTCATCTAGAGTAGTGCCTTTTAAACTTGGACATGTGTTATTATCACCTGGAGGCCTTGTTAAATACACAGATTGCTGGGCTTTACCCCCGCAGTTTCTGATTCAGTACTTGGAGTGGGGCTTCAGAATTCGCATTTCTGAAAAGTTCCCAGGTGATGCTGATGCTGCTGGTTCAGGAATCACGTTTGAAACAAGTTGGAAGTTGGACGCAAGAAGGTGCTAGATGGAGCCATCTGTTTAAAGAACAGGACAGAATACAAGCAAGACTTAGGAATACCACCCTAGGTCTCAGGAAAGACAATGAGGCTGGAGACACAGGAGGGAGAGCGATTGGTACATGTTAAATGTGTCATCCTTTGCCTCTTTGAAAAATCATCTACCTAGAGGCACTTGCAGCGAGAAGAAGAGAAACCAAGACAATAATATTAGTGAAGAACAATGACAAGGGACATGGGAGAATACAGAGATTACAACCCAAAATGAACACAGCTATGCTGAGTGAGCTGGAGTCCCAATTCCGAGCCTGTCAGCACCCAGGGAAGGTTGCCTGATCTTCATGGCTGTCATTGTGAGAAGGAAGAAAATGTACCCGTTTTTCAAAAGAACATCAAGTTTTCCAAGGACTAAACTCTCAGCAGAATGGCTTACTTGGAAAATTACATAGGGAATATGAGTAAAACTGGGTTATGAACAATGTTCTTGATAACATCATTCAGATAAAGAATTTACGTGATTGTCTTTTATAAGACACTTTTTCATTTCATTAATGTTTGCTCATTGAAAACAAAGATTATCAATATATTTAGCTTTGGTATTTTTATGATAGTATTCATGTACACTATGCATAGATCCTTCAGAGGAAATTACTTGAAATATGCCTAAATATTCTTAAAACCTCTCAAGTATACATGTCTGCACATATTTTTTCACTTTTCCATCACTAAATTAACATGTACTTATAGTTTTTTAAATTATAAACTCCTTGACACCTGAAACAATGTCATAGTTTTATTTTTTGTCAGTGTATGCTTATGTATCTTACTCATTTAAGATGCTTGAAAAACATTTAAGGACTCAAATTTATGTAATTTATATGTATTTAACCCCTTTAAAGTTATACCCTGGCAGGAAACCCTATATTAATCCTCTTCACTTACTATTATTTCAAAAGAAACAAGGAGTCAAAACTTTCAGCCGAAATGCATTTATTGTTTAGGTACAATCATCACCTTGCTTAACTTCAGCAGACAGCTCAGTAATTGGATGTTGCACTGAGAAGAGGCAGTTTAGTAACAATTTAAGAAAAACACCTCAAGCTGTATCTCAGCTTGCAGTTTAAATTTTCAAACACATTTGAAACTTATTTTCAAGGTACAGTGACAGCGATGTATTTTCATTTTTAGATTTTGTTTTGCCAGAGGATAGAAAGGCCAGTTCCAGGAGAAGGAATTCAGTTCAGGCTTCATGCAGTGGAGTCCCATCACATAGCAGCATTGTTCTTTAAATCTTTAGGTGCTGGAAGATAAAACAATAAAGTATCTTCTGAGAAAAAGTAAAAATTATTTTATTCCAAGAAGACAGTCTTCGAGTGACTTATGACTTTTGTAATAAAATTTAGCCTTCTTGTAAAGTCTTAAGAATTTTTCTAAGTTACAGTTTTTAACTACTGCGTCCCTATGTGAAAGTTGTAGAGTGGAAATTGAGTAATATGACCTGGGATTTTATATGCTCTATGTCTCAAAACGTTTCAAAATGAATTTAGTTGTTTTTTAAGCTGTAAGAATAGACAAGGGAAATGAAATAAGCTTAAACATTTAGAAAAACAGGGCTTGAAAACCCCTAGGGCTTTGTAGGGGCTCTTGCGATAGTCCAAACATAGTGGGAGACGTTCCCTATTCTGGAAGACAGCCTGACCTTTGGAAATAGACATTTCTTAAAAAAAAAAAATAAGCAATTTAAAAAAATTGTTAGCTTCAGGTGGGAAGTTTCCCAGGAACAAACAATTTTATATGTGAAAGCTAAATGTCAGCTGTGGACCTGCCCCTTCCACAATCCTGAGCCTACTCCACAGTTCCTGCAAATTCTTCTGGCCTTCTTTCTCACATGCCCCTATGCTGCCATAAACCATTGTTCTTTTGTTTCGTATCTGTAAAGTTCCATAATATTTTAGATGCAAAACACAATCCCTTCATCAGTTTCCATAAAATCTACTTACATCATGCAGCGTGTAAATGTTTGATATTGTTGTTGCATCTCTTAAAGATTTAGAGTGGTTGCGAGGAAGGGTCACATCTCAGAGAAAGGCCTTCAACCAGTTCTCAGACTTCACCCTCTGAGCTCCTCCTCTGCTCCTCTCATTTTTCATCTCCTCCTCCAAATTAATTAACAAGGAATATTTCCCTCTGACTTCCTCAAGGAGGTCCCAGCATCTCCAGGTTTCTAGGAGACCCACTATTCCTCCTCAAAAAAAAAAAAACATGTACACGTTTACCCCACAGCTTTTCATTGTTTTAATCCCAAAACAAATGCTACTCTCTTTCTTTAAAAAATCATGGTTGGGCGCAATGGCACATGCCTGTAATTCCAGCACTTTGGGAGGCTGAGGCAGGCAGATCACCTGAGGTCAGGAGTTCTAGACCAGCCTGGCCAACATTGTGAAACTTTGTCTCTACTAAAAACACAAAAATTAGACAGGTGTGTTGGTGGGTGCCTGTAATCTCAGCTACTTGGGAGACCAAGGCAGGAGAATAGCTTGAATCCAGGAGGCGGACTTTTCCGTGAGCCGTGATCGTGCCACTGCACTCCAGCCTGGGTAACAGAATGAGACTCCAACTCAAAAAAAAAAAAAAAAAAAATTACGTGGAAGCCATCAATATAAACATGTTTTCCATTCCCTTACACATATGTACTCTGTTATTTATATTCTGAATTGCATTTCTGGTCACTTTGTTCTCCATGCAAAGGGATGCCCAGAAAATGTCTGCCTTACATAAAACTGAAACTTGGGTTGACGGCTTTAAATAGAAACCATCCCATCCAGATGGGTAACAGGGTTGACCAGCTCCCACTGTGAAGCCACATGGCTTAAAGCTGCGCTCCCACAGATCTATTGAGCTTATTTTCAGCCAGTGAAGCCAGTGAAGGCACATGGCTTAAAGCTGTGCTCCCACAGATCTGCTGGGCTTATCTTCAGCCAGTGTTATTTTTCACCGCAACACTGTACTGTTCTCCAAACAACAGCTGTGCGTCTGCCTACTTCGTTTGCCCTCTGGATAAATCTAGCCTTTTAGAATTAGATTAGAGCAGGCGCAGCTGTAGTGGGTGGATAATCATCTGCTTTATGAGTGAGGAGAATCTGAAAAGCTTACTTGTTTGCTCAAATATCATCTATGGGATGATACGGTGGTGTCTGACACATTGTTGATGGCTTTTTAGTATTTAAAGTCGAGATATCCATTAACACTGGAGCAAAATTAGAGGGTCTAGATGAAGAATTAGGAAGCGTAGTTCTGAGAGAATGAGAATGCTGCCCTCCCAACTTCTCTCCACTTTCCTAAATTCTAGTAGAACACAAGATTCTGCCCAAATATCTCCTTCTCTAAGAGGTCTCCCCAGCCTTCACCAGCAGACAATAACTTTTCTTCCTCAGTAACCTGTGAGTATATGTCTTAATAGAAAGAGTCATCCATTATAAATAAGAACTTTCTAACAATTAGAGCTGACGAGTGTTGGCATAAACTACCCTGGGTCTTAGTGAACCCTCTGTTCCTGGAACAAATTAAACAAAGATTTAACAGACAATTGCCCTCAATGTGCTGGGTAAGAATTGAGCTTAATGATTTTTAAGCTCTCCTCTAAGCTGAGTTTCTAGATACTGCCTTGTGTTTTCTGTTGAAATAAAATATAGCTGTTATGGAACGCCTTTGATATTTACTTTTGAATGTCTTTTATATAGAGAGACCATTCATTCCCTTCCCATGTTTAGACCACCTTGTACAAAATAAGTGTTCAAGGAAATGGATGGATTGGACAATGCCAGATGATTTTGGCAGGGTGCTTAACAAGGGGAAGGGAGGACAACCTGGAGACAATAAAACAGATATATAGCCATGCCATGAAGCACCAGATTCCCAGCATTTAGGACCACAGGAAGCATGGGAGTTCACAGGGAGTAGAGGGACCCTTCAACAATTTCATGTTGATTTTACCACTGGGTCTATCCATGTGCTAGAATTTTTGTTGCCACTGCTGAAAAGCATGCAAAACTTGTTCTTATTCTCTTCCTTCTCGTCATAATTCCTGCTTTCCTACTTAAGGAAAGGATCATTTGCAGGAAAAATTAAACTGTTTAATAATTGTGGCAAATAGATCCACAAATTCTATAATTGCTCCATTTGAATGGAGAAGATTCACTAAATGCAGAACAAACCCTAACCACAGATAAACACAAATGCATCAAACCCATAACTGGGTGCACAAATGTGCAGCATCTACTAGTGATTCAGGCTGGAAGGTGGTTGTACTACATTGCCCCATAAAGTATAGTCTGTGGAACAAAAATATTGGCATCACCTGGGGTCTCTAAAAAATAAGGAATCTCAAGCCTCACTTCAAACCTACTGAACCAGAATCTGCGTCTTAATAAGAGCCACAGGTCACTCATGTGCACATTCAAGTTTGAGAAGCACTAACATAAAAGGGAACTTGTCTTTTGGGAGCAGGACCTATCAGAATTAGCTAGGAAACAGTTAAATAAGCAGTCACTTCTTGGAGAGTCTATTATACCCACACTAGAGCTTCTGTTACTGATGAGAATGGGGGGTAACCTTTCAGAGACCTGAGAAAGACAAAACGTTCTTGGCTATAACACTTAAGCCCATTTGTGTCTGTTCTACCTGTAATCATGTGGTCAAAAACATTTTTTTTGCAAATTAGGCAGACATAGTGGCACGCACTTGTGGTCCCAGCTACTCAGGAGGCTGAAGTGGAAGGATCGCTTGAGCCCATGAGATTGAGATTAGCTTGGGCAACATCATGAATCACACACCATCCCCATCTCTACAAAAAATATTTTAAAATTAGCCGAGTGTGGTGGCTCTTGCCTGTGGGACAACCTGCTCAGGAGGCTGAGGCAGGAGGATCACGTGAGCCTGGGAGACTGAGCCTGCAGTGAGCCATGATCATACCACTGGACTCCAGCCTGGGCAATAGAGCAAGACCTTGTCTCAAAAAGATAAAATAAAACATTTTTTTCACCATCAGTGCCTAAAATTGAAACACACCAGATGCACCTTTCATTTAGATCACAACTGGCTAATTCTTTTTAACTGTGGTAGAAATAACACTACAAATGGAGAAACCTTAAAGACAACCTGTTGATTTCTAGTTTGTATTTTAAAAGCCCTAATGAATACATTAGAAAATTTTCAGCATGGGAATATGCTTTTAGAGTCATATCTATCGTCAAACAAATAGGAGGTGGGCTATGGACGTGGTAATCACTGCAATAAACATTTAAAGCCTGAATATAGCACTTATGTTTGAATGCAAAAGAGTGTAACTTAATAGTTACATATATGAAAGTCATAAAAATTACCCTAAAATTTATGTTGCTGCTAGATTATGTGGTTGGCTAAATATAGAATATTCAGTAACATAAGACATACTCTCCAAGTTGTCTGAAAAGCCACTTAAAATACATTTTGACTTCAATAATATTGAACATGCTAGATAAGGAAAAACAAACTCCTATTTGTTTGAATTATTTTGGTGACATTAATAGCTTCATGAAAGAAATATAATCTATTTATAAGCAAGCAGTAACTGTGTCATACAACTTAATTTAAATTTAGTGAGGGTCTGGTGTTCAGGGAAGGCGGAATATTCCTCATTCTAACCTCAAGAGCACTTGATAATAAGGGGAACTACAAAAAATATTTTCTTAAAAAGGAGAAAATCCTGCCTTTTGCAAACGTGGATAAACCTGGATGATATTATTCTAAGTGAAATGAGCCAGACACAGAAAGACAAATAATGTATGACCTCAGTTATATGAGAATCCAAAAAATCATAATTATATGAGAATCCAAAAAATCATAAAAGTCAAGAGTGGAATGGTGATTGCCAGGGGCTGGGAGGGGTGTGCTGGCAGGAATGTTGGTAAAAAGGTAAAAAGTTTCAGTTATGCAGGATAAATAAGTTTTAGAGATCTAATGTATACCATACTGGCTATAGTTAATAATAGCAGATTGTATACCAGAAATTTGCTAAGAGATCTTAAGTGTTTTCACTAACGCTAAAAAAAAAAAAAGTAACCATATGAGGTAATAAATATGTTAATTGGCTCAATTGAGGTAATTATTTCACAACATATACATATATGAAAAAGTCTTGCTGTACATCTTAAATATATAAAATTTTTATTTGTCAATTGTGCCAGAATAAAGCTGAAGAAAAAACGAAGTAAGCCAGAAGTCTTATCTAGATGAAGGCCAGTTGGTTTCCTAAGTCCCGATAGTGACAGGTCATGAGATACAAAGTTCCAAGGGTGAATCTGAATTTCGTCACTGTTTATGTAAGCAAATGATATGACCTTTTTCATCTTCATTTTCCTTATCTTTAAAGTGAAGAAATTATCATATGCTAGGCTTCTGTGAGTTTTTCTTATGTTTATTGATCATTCGAATTACTCTTATACACTGTATTTTCCTTAATTTTCTTCCACTGGGTCTTGGTTTTTTTCCTTGATGAATTGGTAGTGTTATGCCATTATGAATAATATAAATAGTAATTAAAGTAAATTTTGTATTTATCTTTTAATTTTATTTTTTACTTAATGACATTTTTCATTTTATGTGGCCAAATGTATTTTTTTATCTAAGGGTTTTTAATATTTTTTATAAAAATCATTGTTTGACTGGAGAGTAGATATTTTACACACATTATCTTATATTTTTGAATTAATTACTGTTCGCATTTGTGTCTTATTTTATTAAAAATTATAAAATGGCCAGGCACAGTGGCTCATGCCTGTAATCTCAACACTTTGGGAGGCCAAGGCAGGCAAATCGTGAGGTCAGGAATTCAAGACCAGCCTGGACAATGTAGTGAAACTCCCTTTCTACTAAAAATTTAAAAAATTAGCCAGTCATGGTGGTGGGCGCCTGTAATCTCAGCTACTTGGGAGGGTGAGGCAAGAGAATCACTTGAACCCAAGAGTCAGAGGTTGCAGTGTGCCCAGATTGCAATACTGCACTCCAGCCTGGGCGACAGAGTGAGACTTCATCTCAAATATATATAATGCACATTATAAGTAAACTTAATAATATAACATAAAGATAAAAAGTTAACACACTATTCTTATTTTGGTTTATTACCCTCCAGTCATTTTTCTATGCATGTTGTCACTAAATTGAGATAAAACTATATGAGAGTTTTGGGTCCATGTTTTGAATATTATATTATGAGCATTTCCCCTGCCATTAAAATTCTTCATGGCTTACTG